AAATTTCTTTGAATTTCATCAATATTTTACTAGATATAAGGATAAGTATAAATTTTTATTGTAACAATAATTTAGGTGTTTCTATAAGTGATAAAATATGTAAAAGATTAAACAGTCTATCTAAAAATTAGTCTTGTGTCATTCCATACCAGAAAACACCTCTGCCATCTGTAGAATTTATCCTCTATACAGAACTGAGCAGAAAGAGTAGAATTAGCATTTATGAAAAGCTGCAAAATGCCAGACATCAGGCCAAGCACTTTACATATATTGTCTCATTAATTATAACAATTTTGGAGATAAACACTCAGCAGCTAACACAGATTAAGTAACATGCCCCACAAAAGTTAAGTATAGGAAATTTATTTTTACAATCAACATATTTGTTGAAAACTATTTACGAAATACCTGCAGTGTACCAGCATTGTGAGAAGCACATTGTGGGCAGCTGTGGACAAGACGCATGAGCACCCTGCTATCTGGAAATGTACATCTTAGTGAGGAAAGAGATGCCATATGTATGTAGACGAATAGGTAAATTAAATATGCAATATAATGATACTTATTATTAAGATATCTAATAATTGTTAAATAAGTTTGTTAACAAAGTAATGCTAAATTTCTCCAGATTATTTTGACTTTTTGAGCCTAAATTTGGACTTTTACATTCGGTTCTATTGAATTCTGTACATTTTAGTCACTTTTCATCATACTTTAACCTCTTTTTGATTCCTGATATTTTCGTTCTCTGAAAAGGTATGGTCATGTAGACCATACCATTTATGTCATACAGACCCATGCCAAATTGTACTCACCTTTTCCACGTAAACTTTATTCTTAAGGGATTTTGAAAGCTACTTCAACCCTGACCTTAGAAAAAGATTTTGGTGCCAATTGGTTCCACCGGCCTTTGTCTCATGCTGTCTTGACTTTCCCCTTTTTCTCCTATGTTACTCGTCTGATTCTGTTTTATGATTAACCCTTTGGTTCCTTGCATTTCTTCGTCTTCTGTATTATAACTACCATTCACTAATGCATTTCTTTACAATTGCATGTTATGTAATCCTTCAATTGACATACAAGAAAAAGTACTGCTGTTATCACCATTTTACAAATTAGGAAAATGAGGTGCAGAGAGGTCATTTTCCCACGATCATTCATCCAGTAAGTGATAAAACCAGGATATTTAGAAGAAGCCAGCTCAGTGATGTTACTCTTAATTTCATATTTCAGAGTCTTTATAGCACTGAATCCATCTTCCATTTTAAAATGAATGGCCATGGAATCAAAACTCTTTTTCTCTCAAAATTTGTAAAATGTTACCCTAAAGTTTAGGGTATGGGTTAAATTCTGTTCAATGCTTGTTTCCATTGTTGTTATAAATTCTGTCTTAATAGTACAATAACCTCTTGTATTTCCAAGCATAACCTTTCCAAGTCATTCTTCAATAGAAGGAAGAACAACAGAGTAGAAAGGGTATGGGCTGTGCAGTCAGCTAGGGTTGCATTCAAATCTAGCTCTTTTGTTTTAGCTATAGCACTTTGGGCATTTTATTTAATTTCCCTTAGGCTCAGTCACTTTTTCTTCTCATTAAGGATAATATCTGCCTGGGGGGATTGCTATGGGAATCAACTTAACACAATTAAAATGGTTTGGCACATGCTTTGCACTCAATAATTTTGACTTTATGTTTACTTAAAATTAAGATTGAACTTGTGATTCTTTCTATTATTCTGTAGAAGTTTGAGAGAGACATTTTCCTGAAAGTTGAGTCATTTTATCAGATGCTCTGTTTTTAGCACCATGACTTACCATAGTCTGTATAAAGTCTGCCATATATTCATTCATCATTCATTCACTCATTTATTTAGCAAGCAAGGCAGCAATCAAGCTTATATAATAGAATGATTACGCAAGGCTCTGTGCTAAACAGTGACTCAGAGGTATGTGAGAGTAATCTAGAAGTTCACATTCATATAGTGATAGAAGTATGGGAGAAGTGCACGAGGGAGTGAAGTTTATATTAAAATCTGAATGGAGACAGTATTACCCAGACCTTCTCTCTGCTAAGGTGATCTGTATTCAACAGTTCCTTACATTTGGTTTCATCTACAAAGTTACCTAAATGTCCTTATAAAATCCATTTCTTCTCTGAAACGCTATGCCACTATAATCGTGCCACGGTTGGTTCTCTTTTTTAATTTTTACTTAAATGACATTGACCACATTTCTTCTGTAAGGTTTACAGAATTTATTGGAAACAGAATGCCTGATTTGCAACCAGTATCACTTTGAATCCTTTATAATAGGTCAGGTTTGTACATAATATAATGTTTTATAATGTTTTCAGTGCTGGCCAATTTACCCGATACCTAGCTGGAAATGTAAATTTTGTAACAGATTATTTGCCTTATTTTGGGGGACCTCATCTAACCCCTTTTCTTTTTTATTCATTATTCCCTTTGTTACTCAAAATATCTAATAGATTTGGGTGTTCTCCACAAACATTTTGTATTAAAGTAATGTTTTTTAATACATATCATGTAGACCTGAATATGCTTGGATATATACAGCAGAATACTCAAGCGGCTACAATGTGAGACACATTAACGGACACCTGAAGACACAGTAGAACTTCAACCATGATATCCTTGGGTTAGAACAATTTGATATACTGTTGCTTGCTGGGAATAATATTGCATAAGCACAGACAGAGCTTTGGTGTCAAACTACCACAGTCAAGCTTACAGATGACATAAGAAGGCTTCAAGTGTTGACGTTTTCTAGCATTTCTATTTCCAATGTCAGTTATTCTTTTCTTTCAGTGCATTTATACCACATTCTTTTTTTATTATTATTACTTGCCTCTATCCTAGTTTGTAAGTCTCATGAAAAGAAGAAAGTTCAGTAGCTATCATGTTATCAGGATGTTCCTCAAATAATGAATGAATGACATGAACTGGTAATATAATACTGAAAATATAATAAGATTTAAATGCTTTACTTAATATCATATAGTATTTGGAGAGACAATTTCTAAAAGAGATATGAGACTGACATTCTAGGGCAAAGGGGTTTTACAATTGCACGACTTTAAGTTGGAGGCGAAAGAATACATCTTTTTGCCTTGAAAAAATGTTTACTATCATGGAAAATTTATTGCTGTAGCTGTAAAATAGTGATCAAGCTGTAGAATGAAGACTAGGAAGCTCAAATTTTCTTTCATTCCAGTCTTTACAACAATGATTTTATTTATTTATGAGTGGAAGGCTGTGGCACTGAGAATAGAGATATAGATGCAGAAAAGAAAAAGGTATAATTATTGCTCTTGAGCATGCTCTGGCAAAATAGGATAAGAACACCTACAAGTGAAGCAGAATGTGTAAAGGACTGGTATCTAACTAAATATAGCACAGAATTATGCTCCTATCAGAGATTGGAGCAAGGGAGGAAAAATCAATCAAAGTCCCCATAAGGAGACAATTAATAATTTGAGTTTTTAAAAGTAAAGAGGAGTACTGCAGGATGATCAAAATAATGAAATTCCAACATGCTCACAATAATCCTTTTATCATATGGACTAGAACTTTCAATGAATTAATGTTGATTCAAGCAATTTAATTCCCGATTAATTTATGTGCTCTTTCTCCTATACTAAAGAACAACCTGCAACTTATGAACTTTAAGTGTAAATGCAAATAATACTCTTGTTTCTTATTAAGTTCATGTAACTATTTCAACAGCACAATGAGAGCAATGAACCATATTTCGAAGCCTCTGCTCCCTACAGGTAAAGATTTTTCTCTTTATTTCCTTAATTATTTCAAACCTGCAAAAGTGTCATCTGTGTTACTGATGACCAGCTTCTCTTGGCTAAATTCAAACTCTTTCCTATATAAACTGTTATTAGCATAGCCAACAAAATTGTACTCAAAAGAGATTCAGTATTCCTCCACATTTTCCTATTTTTAGGACTTTGCTTGCTACATACACAATTGACCACAATCTCCTCATGGACAACTTTTATAGCCTTACCTTTAAAAACGTCCTTGTTTTCCTAATGTTCTCTCTCTTTTTTTTTGTTTTTTGTTTTTTGTTTTCGTTTTTTGAGACGGAGTTTCGCTCTTGTTACCCAGGCTGGAGTGAAATGGCGCGATCTCGGCTCACCGCAACCTCCGCCTCCTGGGTTCAGGCAATTCTCCTGCCTCAGCCTCCTGAGTAGCTGGGATTACAGGCGCGCGCCACCTTGCCCAGCTAATTTTTTTGTATTTTTAGTAGAGACGGGGTTTCACAATGTTGACCAAGACGGTCTCGATCTCTTGACCTCGTGATCTACCCGCCTCGGCCTCCCAAAGTGCTGGGATTACAGGCGTGAACCACCACGCCCGGCCTTTCCTAATGTTTTCTAATTGATTCTCACTAGAATTTAAGCTCTAACAAAGCAGTATTCTCATTTTTTTGTTCACTTACATATCCCAAACTCTGAAACAGTGCCAGAGACATATAGGCACTCAATGAATCATTCAAAAAAAAAAAAAAAAAAAAAACACATTCATTTCCCACTTTGTGGGAAAACAAGTAGAGACTACCAAAAAATGAAAATGTATTTTTTATTCTTTCTGTCCTTTTCACTATATGTCAATTTTTTTTCAATGACATTATATGAGAAAGATTGTTTAATATTATGATAGAGATACATGTTCGTTGCAAAAAAAATGATAAATAAACATGTATAATTGCACTCTACCAAGATAATACTGTTGATATATTAATATATATACTTTTAGGGTTTTTTTCTATGTACATAGATTGGATTAATATCTAACTAGATAACAGGTATACAGTTGGCAACATGATAGAATAAACAGTGAATACAGAAAAGTTTAACTGAGATCAAAGAAAGAGACATACTTTTTTCACATGCTATGTGTGATTTTAAAAAGATCCATTTTAACTTTGTTAATTCAGACTGTAAAGATATTAAAATCTGGTTACTTTACCTAGCTTTCCTGGTAGGATATATGACCTCATTAATCACTTCAGGAATCTGAAAATTGATTTGAGAGGCTGTCTTAGAAAAGCTGTCTTAGTTTAGGTTACTTTAACAAATTACCCCAGGCTGAGTAGTTTAAACAACAAACATTTATTTCTCACAGTTCTGGAAAAGCTGAAAATCTGAGATCAGGGTGCCAGCATCATCTGGCCATGAGAGCCATCTTTTAGGCTGCAGAAAGCCAACTTCACCTTGAATGCTTCCTCTAGTTCTCTGGTCTTTTGCTCTAAGGGCACTGATCCCATTCATGAGGACTCCACCCTCATGACCTAATCACCACGCATAGGCCCTACCTCCAAAAAGCATCACTTTGGGGATTATATTTGAACATATGAAATTTGGGTGGTGGGGAAACATTTAGTCCATAACAAAGATGAAGCAACACCTTAATTTATCCTTCCCACTTAGGATGATAGGGTTAACAAAGAAAATAGTGCACCTGATTTTCTAAAAAAATTTTTAATTTGCGGTTGTAGTTTAAAAGCCATTAACCAGTTATTCTTGTCTCATAATCATTAGAATTGTTGTTGATTAATCAATGAATGCATATTGTTTTAAATATATAAGCTCACTTGATCACTTTTCAACGTAATTTATAAAAAATTGTGTTTATGAACTTGCTGGGCCCTATAACTATAGAGACTTATGTACAAATTTAGTGAGCTGATGAAGACTTTACTTTTTTTTCTAATATATTTGTTAATAAAAATATGTGGTCTTTAATCATCATTTTGTTCTTAATTCTCAGTCTCAATAATAATCTATATCTTAATAGTGGTTATTTCAGTAAAAGTAAAATCTCAGAATATGAGTTTTAAGTGTACAACAAGTCCACTTTCTTCCTCACATGAAACATTTAACTTTCCTCCCATGTAAATATTTATATCTTCTAAAATAACTCACATCTTTTTCAAACTTCCCCAAAATGTATTTTTTTTCTTACTTCTATGAAAGCACCAGTAGTTACCTTAAAAGCTCACTTGGTATAAAGAGCACTGCAATTGAAACCCACAGGCCAAGATCTGATGCCTTGTTCTCTATTTTTTCACCATATGACATTAAACAAACAACTCATTTTTCCAAGTTTCCCTGGGCCTGGAACTTGACCAATGAGAAAAGTAGATGAGATCAACTCTAAAAACCGTATCATTCTTACGGTTTATAATTCTATTATAAATCATTTTATATTACAAAAATCTTTATGGTTCTGTGTAGTTAAATGTATTTTCTGCTTTAAATTTGTGTTGTCATTATTTTTTTTCTGCGAGTTTTTCTAACCATTTTGGTTGACAGAGCCTTTTTACCTGTCCTTTACACTGTGCATAATCTTTGGCAATTAAGTTAGTCAAACATATAAATCATGACTTCCTTCTTACTAGAAATTTTGATGTGAAATTTGTACAACTAGAAATCTGGCTATGAAAGTTTTAAAAATTCAATTTTTCCATTATAATTGGCAATCTATTTACTGTAGAATTTTTCTAGTGGTTTAGACTTTGCTGAACCAACAATTTAGAGCAACCTCTAAAAAATAAAGAAGGTGGCATTTATATTTGTGCTGGACTCCAATTCACAGTGAGTCTTAGCATGAGACATGTGATTGAAGGATACTCCTGTGAAACAACTGCTCAGAGGGAAGTGGGTATGATCTGAGTCCTGTTCAGAAAAGACAGCTGTCCACCTGGAAAAACCCTCAGGCTAGTAGAAATGGTCATACTGTGTGTTGCTGTGTCATCCAAGAAGCTCAAAACTGAATGTACATACAGACAATATTAATCCTTTGAAGCTTCAAAGAGGCCACTGCTGATAAAAGATAGACCCTAGTCACCTGGTGCCATTAGTTCATGAGTGATGACCTTTTAACAAGACCCTGGAGTCAGCGAGTCAGCGAGTCAGCTTTAAAATAGAGCACTAAAATAGAATTTAATAAAACACAGAACCTAGAAAATTGAAAACAGGAAAAAGCTAAGGTACTCTAACATTACAGGATTTGAAAGCATTATTCTTCTTCTGCCATATTGAGCAATCCGGTTCTAAATGACACAGTAAAGAGAAAAATATCAATGATAAGGTAATGAATATTTTTGTGGAATGGGTTACTGTACTTTAGAAAATGTTTTGTTGTCTTTAAAAGATCAAAACAGAATAATTCAGTTTTAATGTCATAACAAACATTACATTAAAAATGTTATGACAGGGTGTAGCTTTGTATAATTTGTGGGTGCTTAATATATTCTTAGTGAGAATTATGAGAATAGTGATCATTTTGGTTATGATAGTATATAAAAATAGAACATATCCTTTCTGTTTATGTGATACGTATTTACCACGTTTTAAAAATCTCAGTATTTTAATTAAGAAATACATGTTAACTTAGATCACCAGAATAAAACTATAAATCTAACCTAATTTTCGGGATTACCAATATGAAGAAAAACTTGGTTGAGGCTTATTTTATTCCCTAAAATTTAGAAGATTAAAACCAATGGTAATTTAATGTGGTCATATTATTTCCAACCTGAATTTCAAATAAATTATATGATCTATTTCAAGACACACACATAGTTGTTTGAAACACAGTTTGAAACAATCAAATAGAAAGTTTATCTGTGCATTCTTTGAGTAATCTGGTGTATGTTTCCTTTTAGTTAGTTTAAAATTATGCCGATGATTCAAACAAACAAATAAAACTTCTAGATTTTAGTTTAGAAACAACTGTGAAGATTAACCTCTCAGAACTATTTTAGATTTTTCCTTGTTTTAGTTCTTTCCTTCTGTTGCTCTTTTCTTTTTTCTTTCTCTTACTTTCAATCGCATGATAAATTCTGGATTATGTCACACTAAGGCTTCAACACTACATTTAATGAAGTTCTTGAACTTTTAACCTTTGAGTTCAACAGACTTGAAAACTACCACCAATATCTACTGCACTTTTTTTTCTGAAGTTCTGTGTCAAATTGAGTGAGGGTCTTTAAGTGTAGGGGACTATTTACCCAGGCTCTTTGCAAAAACAAATGGAAGGCATTTCATTTTTTACTGGTCTTTTTAAAAATCCTTGAAGAAAAACATGCTGGTGTTCCCTAGAACAACCCAATCCCCTATCCTGCTCCTCTATTGGTAATTGGTCTACAAATAAAAAGCTCCTGAGTGTCAGCTTCCATTGAAATGTCATTTATTCATGACCAGGTATGCAGCTTCCCAACAGAAAGGATTGTTTTTTCCCAGATCATCTTATATCTTTCAAACTCATCCTGTCTATTCAGCCATGCATTCTGCCTGCAAGGCAGCACAAGAGGCATTTCTTAGTTTCATAACCAAACAGTAGCAATGCTTTAAAAGGAATCAAAAGGAAGGAACTTTTTTTTTTAAATGCAGGATTTATACTTACCTTTTCCTCTTTGTGTCATTAAACAGTAATCAAGCTCCGTCCTTCGATAGGGAATCAAAAAACAGGCAGTTCCTGTCTTATTTGTTGGAGGAATAATTTGATGAGCAGTGAACACTAGAGGGGGAGCTTACCCGTTCAGGAGGCTGAAAGCTTCAGACCCTCTGGGAGAGGATCAGAGAGATACTAGAGCTACTGAGTTAAACAAGGCAAGCTAAGATTTGGTCAGCAGTGGTTCAGAAGTCAAAAGGTCAAGAATGGTAGGTAGCCAATTTATTGTCAGTTTCCAAAAAGGCAAGAAATCACAGTGAAATTGAGAAGTTTAGCTGCTGCTTATAACATGTTACAGAATATTTTAAAAATCTCTCCAGAGGCAGCTGTACCATGAGGAGTAGGATTAGAGAAGCTTTCCCTCCCTTAACTAGGACTCTGTCATTTAAATGTTTAAGGAATGATAAAATGAATTATTGTAAAATTTTGACAAATTTGATGGCTCAAGCAAAAGAGGGAAATAGGTATTCCGATTATTAGGTTGTAATAAGACATGACATTTAAAATGAGTTTACATGGCAGTTAGACCTTTGCTTTATACCCCTTGATTTAAAAACACTGGAATTCTTTTCTTTGGAAAGGAATTAATTTATTTCAGTTTCTCTTCTCTCTAGCTTAATGATTATGAATCCTATTATACCAATTATACATTTCCATCCGTTGTAACTATAGTCTAACTGCTTTTCACAACTTGCTTAAATTTGAAAAAAAATAATAATTTGAAAGCCAGTAGAATATTTAAGTAGATATACTTAGTATATTTTGGTAGAAACAATGCAAGTTGCTCTTTCATTTGTTATCAGGCTATTTTATTTTCTGTATCACCTTACAATACAGTAATAAGATGTACTGATTTAGAAGAACAAACTGTACTTTTTAAAAAGCAATAAAGCAATAAGAAGCGATTAACCAAAAAACTGAAAAACAACATTGATTTTCTCTAATGCCACTCACCCCTACTTCTTTACCAAATACAAACTTCTCTTTCAAGTAATCTATCTGTTTAGCCACATGAGCAATCCAAATTATTATGTTTATATTATTTACTAAAAATGTTTGGCTTTACAAAGATAATTCAATCACAATTAGCTCTTTGGAAACATCTTGAACTTCTAGTTAAAAATTAACAGAGTCTGTGTCATTTTAAAACTATGTTACTATTAATACTATTAGAAAACAAATATTTCTGAAAAAAAAAGAGAAAATAAAGAGGTCTTTAAGAAATATGCTTAGCAAGATTTTAACTTTGTCAGATTCCCACTGCTAACTCAAAAGAAGTCACCTGACTTTAGAAAGTGAGCTTCGTATAGATGGCCTGATAACTGATTGCTTGACTTTACCTAAAATTACTTGAATTATATAAACAGAATAATGTTTTGTAATGAATTTTTTTCCCCAGCAATACATAAAAATGTGAATGTTTCTTTGCTTTCTAAAGGATTTCCTAGAACTGTGATGACTAGATGACTAGATCTTTAGAATTTTCTTCTGATTCTAGTAGTGCAATCCCCAGAGGTTAGTGAAAAGCTTTTAGTCATCTCCCAGAGACCTGGATAGCAACAGTTACTTAGACAATTAGGGCAGAGGAGTGTGAATTGAATGAAGTTATTCTAGGGTTTGTATCTGTAAGTTTCCAGATTTTATATCATGGAAACCAACTGTTGAATTACTAATGAAAATCTAGTTTGAGGCTGCCAATCTAGCCCTCTAATGAATTATTTATGCTCTGCCCACAGGTAACTGCAAATTATGTGGGTGACCAAGCAAGGGAGACATACCTTGAGCTTGGAGTATGCAGTTTTGGGGTTAAGCAATTTGGAAGGAGCAGGAACTGGCCAAATAAATGTAACATTTCCTTTGTATCATTGGAACTAGAGCCATTTTGATCACCCAATAGAAATGTCTAGCTAATAATTTTGGTCTAAACTAACATGGTGACAGTGATTATACAAAGAAGCAGCCCTATCTGATAGCTATTAAGAAGGCAGAATGGGCAGAGGCTAGTTCTGGCTTGGATGTAAGAGAAAAGTGAAAAGTGGCAGTCAAAGATAAGCAGTATATAAATCATATCAAATTATTTCAATACTACACTTAATTTACTTATATGTGCTAATCCACTACATATCCAAATATAAGACAGCATAAAGAAGAACATGGCAAAAGCAGAAGTTTACTTATCTAAATATTCTCCATAATATCAAACACCATGATGATACTTTGACATGCAATCAGTTTTTCTCATTTTTCTGGGAGGAAAAATTTTTAATCATTTTTGTTTACAGATACCTTTCAACTTTAAAGAAAATTGCTATGTTTTATATAAAATTACATAGAACAAAAATGTCCAAAAATACAAAAAATGATGGCCTATGTAGTATCATCAATGCTTGCCAAATGATGAATTACATTAAAAATACTCAATAACTTACAAATAAACTTTTCCCCCAATCTTAATAATGACAGGGGCGAACCCAAAACAGCATTTTATGGAGAAATATTACAATATTTAGAAATTTTTGTTTGTATAATTATTTATGTAAGTATATGTTGGGAAAAACAGCAAAGAAGAAAGGACTCACAGAGTGCCTACCTAAATAGGTTATGAGTAACACATAAACAAGGAGCAACAAACTGTGGAAGGCCGCAGGAGGCCTCTGAGGAGGAAGGCCTCTCCATGCCTCATGTTTCAGTGCCGGGTGACCTAGGCTCTGTTACCATAAACATTGTGCTCGAGGATGTAAAACCCCTTCATAGCACCATGACGTGGCCAGACTTGTCTACTTGTAAGGCCTGCATTCCATCAGATGCACATAGATAATAGTTTAAAGATAACCAAATGTTCTTGTTTTGTGAAATAACCAAACTACCACTGTTATCAATCCTTAGGATGACATATCAGTTCCAGCCCACTGATTCACTTCTGACTCACTGATTCACTCCACCATCACTCCACCATCTCTCCACCCCTACCCTATAGATCAAAGTGCTTGTAATCAATAAATAGTGTGGATGATCAGAGCTCGGGGCCTTCACTCTTTCCTCCAGAGTAGTAAAGTGATGGCCCCCTGGTCCCACTGTCTTTCTTAATCTGTCTTATTCTCATTCCTTTGTCACCACCAAACTCGGGGTACTCACAAGTGATGTAGGGCTGGCTCCCTACAAGTATACATTAAAATGTGTGCATTAATCTTTTAATTTGGTTCTATTTATCTATTGACTCATTCAAAAACTATTATTTTATAAAACATAACATTTATGCAAATTTTTTATGAAATTATAAAAATCAAGAGAATTACAGGCTTATGACATTCCCTTATTCCAGGTTTATTATTTTTAAACGTTGCTGGAGACAGAAAAAGAGAGAGACAGAGATAGAGACAGAGTCAGAGACAGAGAAACAATTTAGTTAGTACCAAATAATTCACCTCCATTCTGGAAAACTGATCTGAGGAAAAGATGAGAATAACCAGACAATAGTGAAAGTAGAGATTTGCCTAGAACATTTTATCCCAACTTATACAGTTTGACAGCAGTATGTTTTTGGTTCTGTGAGAAGAAAAGTGAGGGCAGAATCCACTGATCTGGTAGTTTCTTTGATTTCATAAGAAACATCTCAGTGGCTTAAGCAAAAAGTAGGAGTAGACCATGGGTCAGGAGGCAGGATGGGAGTGTGGAATATTGTTTGTCTCCTGCTCTTGATTTCAGTGTCTAATACTCACTTTTATCAATTTAAAAAATGTTTTCAGTGCCCTAAAGTCAGAGAAAAATCAGTATCCACTGAACAATTTGTTACATTCTCCAGGAATCAAGATGATTATGGACAGGTGGGGTGTACCATGGACTTGCTAGTTGGTCATTGTTGACATTTTATAAGACTCTTAAATATAATTACATCTGAAATTTTAATTTATAAATGTTTATAAAACATAGAGATGAGTATCTCTAGAGTGGTGGTAGGAAGAAGGTTAGCTGGAGACTACTGGCTATGAAAAATATAATACAGAATATTTGTCTTGTGGAGGAATTATCATTCTAAACTTTATTAGGACAACTTCTATATTATATAAACAAAGTTCCTTATGCCATACGTCCTCACTTTTCCAGTATATTTCACAATATTCCTGTTTCTTGGTCTTATTAGTAACAGTACCATTTTCTTCTTAAACAGTCTAAGTTTGGTTGATAAAACACATGGTTACCCTACTAATAGAACTTTAGCATTATAGATGCTTGGGTAACATTAGCATATAGTATTCTAGGGTGAACCTCATATTTTCAGACATGATAAAATGACATAGGGTTTAACATCAAACAGTGATGCCATACATTTTGATATTCAACTGCTTCTAAAAATTATATTAATAAAGATAAGAAAATCACAACATAAAATTATATAAAAATTGTGTGAACAAGGCATTAAGTATGTATGTTTTGTGTAACTGGTGAAAATCAACCTTGGACTACATAACCCTTATTGGTTATTTTCATGATTGCATTGCATTTTAAAAATTAGAAACAATAAAGTCCAAAAGTTTCTCTGACTCAGGTCTCCATGAATGGTGAGTATTAGGGATTTCTAGTCTCATAAAAAGTAAGATTAATGTTTGACCATCAGCACACTATTTCTGTCATTCTGCACACAACTTTTAACTTTGTAATATAGTTTTGCACTAGTAAACTATTGGAAGCTTGTACTCACATTACTCTCAGCTTATTCAAATGAGCTCACTTGGTTAAATGGTGCAAATTAGGAAGCAAGTTTTATGAAATTTGAAAATCTTAAGTGAAATTGATAAAGAAATAAATGAAGGTGCCCAGCAAAAGACCCAGTGAAATCAGTGGCTTGCAAAGTGTTAAATGTGTTTATTTGCACTTTCAAAGTTCAAATTTCCTCATACATTTTCATACTGATGGAGATAAAATGCTAAAGTCTTAAATCCCTCTATGCCATGCTGAGTTGCTAAGGGCTGTTGAGTTTTTGTTATTTCTCCTCTCGAGTTAGCTCTGATTACGCCTGCTGAGTGAAAAATTTGTATTTGCCGACAGAAATAGGAACCACCCCACGTGCACTTGCACTCAGCAAATGCTCCAATACATCACAAAGATTTGCTCAACCCACCTTCAGAGGCCAAAT